TGGCATTTGGTATAACACAGGCAGGGAGATTAACCAGAATTAAGGAGCGTACACATCCCTCCTTCTTTCTTCTCCCCTCCATTTTCCCTTCCTCCTCTTCTCCTTCCCTCCTTCCTCCTCAATTCCTTCTTTCCCCCTTCCTTCCCTCTCTTCCTCCTCATATCCCTCTATCTCTTCCTTTCATCCTTCCTGCAACAATTATATGCCAGGGACTTGGAATATGTGCTGAGCCATATACATAGCCTTCCTTCCTGGGACTCCTTTCATTAGGAATGTAGACTTGGGCATGCCACGGTGGTCCAGGGAATGAGTCACGGCTAGTGGTCCCACTGGAGAGCTGTTTCAGGAGACCAGAGAAGACAGACTTGAAGCTGTTACCAGGAAAAGTGTGGTGTTGCTGCAAAAACAGAGTGTGTACAGTTAACTGTCATCAGAGCGTAGTAGAATTATTATATAGTACAGGTGACCCTTGGCCAACACAGGTTGGAACTGCTTGAGTCCACTTATACATGGATTGGGGGGGAGGGGAGCCGTAAATGCAGTACATGACTGTAAATGTATTATTTTCTTCTCCTTATGATTTTCTTAATTTTTTTCCCTCTAGCTCACTTTGTTGTAAGAATGCAGCATGTAAATCAAAAGTATGAGTCAGTGGACTGTTTATGTCATTGCTAAAGTTTCCTATCAACAGTGGGCTATTAGTAGTTAAGTTCAGAGGGAATTCAGAGGTTATATATGAATTTTCGGCTGGGGAGGGGGTTGGTGCCCCTAACCCCTGGGTAGTTCATGGGTCAGCTGTATAAGAGCATGAACCTAGGAGCCAGACTGCCTGGGTTTATATGGCAGCCTTAGTCCTTAATAGGTGTGTAACCTTGGGAGAGCTATTTGATTTCTCTCTGCCTCAGGTTCCTTATCTTTAAAGTGGAGATAATAATAGTACCTTCCTCCAAGGGTAGTTATGGGGATTAAATTACTATGCATAACATCTAGAAAAGTGCCTGGGACGTATTGATACCTTACATATAACCATAGACTATGATTATTAAGTTACTTCTAGTACACTGTATGAGGGTGAACTTTCAAAAGAGGAGCTACTTGGTCCCACTCTTACTAGAAGTAATACATCCAATAGTGTAGAAGTGAGCATCTTTTCAGGAAGATAAAAGTCAAACATATTCAAGTATTATGGAAAGAAATAAATCACAGCAATTCTTTAGAGTCAATCTGCTCATTGTGACAGTACTTACCTTTCCAAACTTGGGAAGAAATTTAACTAAACATGCATAAACACATACACCCATCCATCCATCCATCCATCCATCCATCCATATTAAGTTTTAGAGGTGAAAAGATGTTCAGCAGTTGACAAATTCTGTTCAAGATTCAGAAATATTTTACAGACTGAAAGTCAGGCCTTGGATACCACTGGGACAGCCTCAAGAGACCCATCCTCTATTTTTATTGTCTAAGCTAATGGTCCATTAACACAGCTTCTTGAGGCTAAGCCTGTTAGATAATGTGTGCCTTCCAGTGCAAAGACACCAGGTGGGTGTTGCCTAATGGTGGGAAGCAGTGTTATTTTTCCTAGGGGAAGAATGTGAACAATCCCACTTTTTGCGTAATGGTAACAACAAGAGCCTTATATAATGGGCAAAGAAATTACCAAGATGATATCAGCGTTCAAAGGGAAAATCCCTATGTTCATAATCAGTGTAATGATTTTGGTTTCAATAATGGCTTGCCCTCTAATATTAGCTAGTCTGTGAAATGGTGCTAATTTTAAGGTTCAGCAGTATATAAAGAACACTGATGCCCTTTCAGACTCTTTGGCATATTTGCATTATTAGCGGACTGATATAAAACCAAAAATTTCGGGAAGCCTATTACAGAGTCTGAACAGTTTATCTTTCTTTAAAAATAAGCGTTGAAAATCTCAACATTATTTCTTATCTTATTTCTTATCTCCACAGCACAAAAGGATTTCTCCCATAATAATAAATAAGCATCTCAGTGCATGAGAACTGAGCATTATTCTCTTTTTTCCCTAGCTTTCTGGACATAATTTTAAACACATTACTTTTAAACTGTCTCGTATTTGAATTTTAAGCCATTTTAAATTTGGTGTCAACCAAACAAGTGTGCAACATCAATGATTCTTATTCCCGGGAAGTCTGTTGATTCACTCATTCTCCTTCCCTTCTAGGGAACGGTTAAGCCTCATACATCAACAGATTTCCAACGCAGGGATCCTGGGTGGCTCAGTTAGGTGTCTGACTCTTGATCTCAGCTCAGGTCTTGTTCTCAGAAGCCCTGCATTGGGCTCTGTGCTGGGTGTGAAGTTTACTTAAAAAAAAAAAAGCTGCCCAAAGATGCCCAACCCAGAGTGGCCTCTCAGTCACGCTGACTCTCAGATGTGAGCCACCATAATTTCCTGTGTCCAAGGAAACTCCTCAGCTTCATCCACCCATCCTGACCAGTTCACCAAAATCCAAGTTGTTAGTAGGACCTCACCACACATGCCTGTGACTGCCATGTTTTGCTAATTGGCATGCAGGCAGTCTTGGATCAATTAATTGATCAATCAACTAAGCCTAAATGAAGCTAAATGTAATTAATTGTACAATATTGAGCTGTTTACCTTTAACTCCACTAAAATTACAGAATGAATCTGGAACATAAAAGATTACTGGAAAAGAAAAGTAGGTATCAGTAAAGACCACTATTTTTTTTTTTTTTACAAATAGTTTATTGTCAAGTTGGTTTCCATATAACACCCAGTGCTCATCCCCACAAGTGCCCTCCTCCGTGCCCATCTTCCCCCTCCCCCCCCACACACCCATCAGTCCTCAGTTTGTTCTCAGTATTCAAGAGTCTCTCATGGTAGTAAAGACCACTTTTGATAAATCCTTCTTACTTACCTCTGCTTACCCAAGACTCCTGTGATTCTGGCTTATGTATTTTGAAACATATTGCTCACCATATGAAAAGCACATACACACACACACACACACACACAGACACATACACACACACCACTTGTGTACCTTCACCTTATGGATTTAAAAGCACGCTTTGTTCTCATCTATCTGACATGATTAATAAACTGATAAAGAGTAACATAATGCATGGAGACGTGATAGCAGCCATCTGGGCTGGGTAGTAGCTGAAAGTCTGTTCTATATAGTTTCCTCTGTTGTATTTAATGCAAAATTTTAATGAGCACCAAAACTAAACAAAAACAACAAATTCACGCTTGTTTGGTGACACCAAATTAACAAAAAATTAATGTTTATTTATTTCTGAAAGACAGAGAGAAAGCACGAGAGGGCTCTGCGTTGTTAGCACAGAGCCCTATGCAAGGCTTTCATCCACGAATCGTGAGATCATGACCTAAGCAGAAACCAAGAGTCAGACGCTCCATGGACTAGGCCACCCAGGTGCTGCTAAAATGTTTTACATTTAGTTGCCTGGTAGTTTGAAATGAATGAGTTTAAAATTATGTCGGGAAGCCAGTAAAACAACAACAACATTAACTTCAAATACATGCGTGAAATAAATTGATTCATTTGTAATGATAAAATACTATTCACTAATTTAATTATTATTCATCCAGAATTGTAAAACAAAAACCATTTTTCATTAAACTAACCTGCATATTAAAATCATTAGAAATACCTTTCTTATGGAATTCCACCAAACTGTCATTAGGTTCTAAAACTTTTAAAGGAAAAATAAATGACCTTAGAGAAATAAGTATTTCAAATGGATTTTTATATTTGATCTTTAACAAATGTGGAGTTTAATAATATCCATGAATATGCAAGGTCAAAATGCATATTTAAATAGAATGCATAAATTATTTATGATGAGAGACAGAAGCAATGAGGGAGAGATGGAATTATGGGTGGTGATAGACTTACCATTTGGGACCCACATATTCAGACTTAAGGTAAGTAAAGGGTTTAAGGAAATATCAGACTCACCCAGTGGATGCCGATTGTTCAAGCTCATTTGTTTTTAAAGCTTATTTAAACTGTTTAGGAATTCTTCTGACAAGCCATATGTTGCAACAGCCAGAACTCTTTCACACAGAATAAAATTGTGCAGGTTGTTTTGAGTTTCATTGTTTACTGACAAACCATAATAGCAATCTTAGTCTTGTTTCTGTCTCAATTATGCAAAAGGGAGAACATGACTAATTAATCCCTTCAAGTTGATAACACCCTCAAAAGACTTTTGATCATTTGTACTGTAAAATCCTCACAAATACTGTTACTTAGGATACCAGATTATTCTCCCCATTGACTAGTGTGGTACTTACACGGTTTGTGAATTTTAAAGATATTCCATTTGTTTACCAATTCAAAATCTTGACAAAAATGGCTTCTCAGATCACTCATTAGATAATTAAAATTCAGTAATATCTGAGTATATGAAGTGTACCAATAACAGATAATGTACAGTTTTATAGTTCTCATATAATTCTAGTGTATTACTTTAATGACTTTTGAATTGATGTTCTTATGTAACTTATTTGTTTCTTACATTTATTTTTTTTTGCAAAAGCAAGAGACAGTTCCTTTTTTTGCTGCAGCCAAATGTGTTAAAGAGCAAAATAAGTTTCCAAGTAGAGGCGACTTCAACACATATCTTCGGAGTGTATTTAATTTTGTGCATGCATGAAAGATAATAATGTGATCCCGGGTACTAAATATTCCTCAGCCATTCACTCTCAGTACTGTTATCTGGAATAAAACTGGATTAAATGTGCAGAACGGTGAATTACTGAAAATAATGAAGCTAAGGCAATTCATTAATCTTTATCTGCTTGTCTATTTTTTTTTTATAGCCAGGATGAAATGGAAAAATTCATTTGGGGGCTGATCAGATCAAAAAGCGTCTAACATTATGAAGAGAAACATGGGGCTGAAAATGTGTTTTTTTTTCTTTTTAAATTAAACACAGCACCTTTTTCTTACATGCCTCTGTTTTTCTTTTAGTGGCAAAGCATTTCTATAACACTGGTTGAGAAAGTTCAGATGATTGCTGTAATCCTAGGATCCCTGTTCTTAATAGCAAGTGTGACCTGGCTCCTCTGGTCAGCCTTCAGCCCCTATGCAGTTTGGCAGAGGAAGGACATCCTTTTTCAAATCTGCTATGGAATGTATGGTTTTATGGATCTAGTGTGCATAGGTAAGACCATGACGTTGAACGTTAACAAACTGTCAGTAATCCATTTCTTGCAGCTATTTTATTTTCACCAATGGCATCTGACGTAGAATGTTGTGGTTCACGTGATATTGGGTCTTCAGTTACTTAACCCTCTGGGGTGCCACAGTCTGGCCACTTTCCTCAGAAAGCATAACGTCTATTTGCCTGAGTCATCCAAAAATTTTAACAGGATAATGCCCATTTGAAGTGACTTATTTTGCAACGTAAAGGAAGGAAGAGTGGAGGAAATTACTGGGGGTGGGCAAATAAGGTCATTTATTTCTATGGCATGAGAGCAAACCAGCCCCCTTTCACCATGCTGGGAAGGCATTGACTGATGGCAGTGATAGTCTGTGCGTTTGGGGAAGGGACAGGCAGACACCTGGTGGTCTTGCCTCATGGCTGGGTGACTCCAGTGCCTCGAGGGAACAGAGTGCTCCTTGGAGGGGTGGGGCCTGGGGATCAGTTTCTTCTCTCTCCCCTTTGCCTCCTTGTTTCGCTTAATAAATTTAGTAGCTTAGAAGAGAAAAAGGAGCAAACATTTTAGCTGAAACAGATCCTACAAAAAAAACATTTACATGTTTCTCTTGACTGATCTGTTTCCCCAATACCAAGAGAAAGTGGAAGCCAATGCATGCAGCATTTATGTGGTATGTGTGAGGCACCACTGGCGCTGTGATGGTGTCTCGTTGGCAGTGGAGGGGGCGGGGATGTAGTGGGGCCACGTGGTCTCGAGGAGACTGTCCCTGCTCTGATGTGGTTGCAGCTTAGTGGGATGTAAAACCAGCGGAGAGAGGAGGCCATGGTTCACAACAGTGATCCTACCGCTGCCTTTTAAGAAGTGCACATTCTCAGGCTCCACCTCATCTGCCAGATCAGAAATTTCAGGATTGGGTGCCCCACCTCACTGGCCACCTGCACATCACAAGCCCGCTGGGATTCTGAGGCTCCCTGTAGCTGGGGGGGTGCTGGTTTCAGCGAAGGGTGCAATTTGGGACCCAGTGACTCGGTTTATAGCCCTGGTCTCGGCGGGGACTGATCAGCTCTGTCTCTCCATGCCCTGGATGGAGATAATAATAATAATAATAATAATAACAATAATAATAATAATAGGGAAGTAATAATCCCTAGCACACAGGCCTGAATAAAGAAAATAATGGTAATAATTCATTATGTCATTAATTGAAAGTTATAGATTAAACATATTTGAATAAGTCACAAACATTAAAACAACTTAAATCATTTACATCAATTCCGGTGCTCACCAGAGCCTTAATGTCACTAGTAGTTTTAATACCTGCAGTCACTTTTTCTAAAAGAACTCTAAACATTTTAAAATAGGATTAGCTGGAATTTCCTCTCCTTTTCTTCCTTCCTTCCTCCCTTGTCACTAGTACAAGACTAATAGGAACGAAAATGATCAAATTGCACGCCAGGAAGGGAAAAAGGAGGTGGGGGTGGGGGAAATGTCATGAATAATATGTAAACTGAGCAGATGCTGCCTGAATAATGGAGCTAATCATGTATATGAACAGTTTGCATTAAATGTGAGAATGCACTTGTAAGCATTTGGAAACGCTAACTCTATACAAATATAATCTCTAGGGTATTGCTCTAAATAAAGAAGCGCCACAAAAATGTTCTACAAATTCCTTAGTAAACTCAGAGATAGATAGTATTTATTCTCTTTCAATATAAATGTTATAAAATGTGGTATTCCGTTGATATGAAAAGGAAAGATGAAAAACAAAGACATCATTAGGCTTCCAGTTGAACCTGGAGGGAAAAAGTCCCATTGACTTTGATCTCATGATGGCACTAAAAAAGGAACATGTATTTATACATCCTGGTTTGGAAATCATTATCCTGGTTTTCTTTTCTTCTTTTTTTTAATGTTTCTTTACTTTTGAGAGACAGAGAGAGACTGAGCATAAGCTGGGGAGAGCAAAGGGAGAGAGAGGGAGATACAGAATCTGAAGCAAGCTCCAGGTTCCGAGCTGTCAGCACAGAGCCCGACCCAGGGCTCGAACCCACAAACCATGAGATCATGTCCTGAGCTGAAGTAGGATGCTTAACCTACTGAATCATGCACCCTCATTATCCTGGTTTCCAAAGCTTGCTTTTAGTGTTAAGTTTCCTTATCTTAAATTTTGATTGCTAATGCCAGTCTTTTAGTCAAAATTATTAAATTTTGGTTTTAAAAGCATAAGCATATGGACTAACCATTTTTGGCAGAATATGGACATATTTTGGCTTCCCTTTTGAAATCTGGGTATTTGCTCGTTTTTATGAAGTCAAGTTTCTTAGGAACAGAAACCAATCGGCAGTTTCCTGGCTTACACTTTGGAGAGTGCATTTTTATTGAAGTTTTAAATAATGACAATACCTGTCGTTATATTTTGACTCATTAGATCCAAACTTCATCCTTGCAGGATTTATTTGTATTTTTTTGAAAAATGTCAAAGAATTCAGATTGAACAACATTGTTCATTTTCAGAGAGTATCTTATTTTTTTTCCTCAAGAAATTGGGAAATGACTATAGCCAAGTTAGCAAATACACTCGTAGGCTCTCAATAGCCAACTGGATCATAGCCGGGAATAGCTCTGCTGACATGAAAAATTAATTCAAATGTCTCTTAATCATATGTAGACAGTAATAAAGTAGATTACATTGATTATGCCTCCAATACCCCTGACTGTAGGACTTAGAGTCTGAGTTAGGGTGAAGGCACGTTCACATGTGGAGTCCAGTTTGCCCAGGTCAGTTCAATAAATATTTATTGAGAACTTTCTTTGTGTCAGACACAATGCTAGGGGCTGGGGATGCAAATCAGAATTGGTCACTTTTCTGCCCCCAATGAGCTCCAAGCCACACCAGGAGGACACGCATGTCAGTAGGCAATTGGAATCCAGTGGGGTGTGCACGATCCTGGAAGTTCGCACAGGAGGTGGACAAAACAGGGAGACATGACTGCTGGGATGTTATATGCGAGGAGGGGGTGGCTGTAGGCAGATTTCACTGAGAAATGATGGCCAGGCAGACTGTTGGATGAATCCATGCTCGGCAAGTGGGGAGATGACCCCTTGTCACTGTTGGAGGATGTGAGATTGGCTCCCCTTTCAGGGGGCGTTAAAGTACTTGGGAACATTCCCACATTCCTGTTTGCCCAAGCTTTTCAAGCTTGTTTATCCCTCAATGAGAAGGAACAGACTGGCAGCTTCAAATATGTTCTGTTTAAAACATAATTCGGAAAATCCATAGAAGATTATTCCTGAATCAACAAACGTTATAACCCAGCCAGTGTTTGTAGTGCTTAGGAAGAAATTATTATGGGATTGTTAAATAGAAATGTAAAGATTTGTAGAAAAGGTATTTACTCAGGGAAATTTGTTTACTACACATAGTGGGTTTGGCTTTTGCTTTTATTCATGATTAATTAACAAATTGTTTGCTTTAGTTTTTTCTTGCTGTTAAAGTTTTGAATTCCCTCTGGGGTCTAGGTGCTCACTGAAATGCCTGGATTTGGCTGTCCAGTAGACTCACTGCAATGACAAAGATGTGTATCGTTGCCCAGCACCCCTGACATCAGCTACGCTTGGCTGTTGAACGCTTGAAATGTGGTTCATGAGAAAGAGAAATAGAATTTTAAATTCGATTGTATTTAAATTAACCTAAATTTAAATAAATAGCCACATGTGGCTGGTGGCTATTATATTGGACAGCACCATCCTAGAGGATGATTCAAGTTGAATGTGTAAGGGTTTGATTAACACAATCCCCATCACCTGTATAAACAGGTTGCATTCACTAAATAACAAAGTGGCTCAGTGCCAAGAGAGATGGAGAAAGTAAGAATGAGTTGAAGAGGATTAAGAGAAGGTATTAAAGGTGAGTGGGTGGTGGTTGACCGGTAGACAGAGAGCCCTAAAAGGGAAATGTGTCTTAAGGAAATCGAAGTACAAAAAGATATCTTATCTTTTACAGGGGGAGCTCTTTTAAATATTTAAATATTTGGCATTCCAACTATAATTGTGTACCAGGAAAACTAATATAAAGGATTTAAATCAGTGAGATGTTTTAGCTTGGGAGAGAAATTTAGGGACAATAGTCAAAGCAAGCTCACGTTGGTTCCCTCCTCAGAAGATTTGCACAGTGGACAAAGGAAGGCTATCAAATCCAGAAATGAAGAGCCAATGCATGGTGGAAGCCTTTGGGCTCAGGATTTGGTTCTTAACTCCATACTTTGCACATTGAGGAAATAGAAGGCTATCGCTTCCATTGATTGACTCAGAGGAAGCTTGTTCCATGAGACGAACGCATTTAGTAATGACTGAGAGTCAGCCATGAGGACAGGGAGTCATTCAATGAACTTGCATCTAAAAAGTGAGGACAGGGGCGCCTGGGTGGCTTGGTCGGTTAAGCGTCCGACTTTCCGACTTTCGCTTAGGTCATGATCTCGAGGTTCGTGGGTTCGAGCCCTGCGTCGGGCTCTGTGCTGACTGCCAGCTCAGAGCGTGGAGCCTGTTTCAGTCTGTGACTCCCTCTCTCTGACCCTCCCCTGCTCACGCTGTCTCTCTCTCCTAGAAATAAATAAACATTTTAAAAAAATAAAATAAAAAAAATAAAAAGTGAGGACAGTAGTTACCAAGTCATTTCAGTGTCTGGTAGAACCTGATGAGGTGAATTCAATTTCTTGTCGAAGCAATAAAATAAAACTAGAACCCAGTTAGTGGGATTCCTGAAATAGAGGTTGCAGTGCTGATGTTTACTCTCATGAACACTATAAATTAGTGCCAGACCCATGTCTGGAATATGTTTTGATCTTCCCTGAGATACCAATGGAAGGGCTGGTTATGGTTATAAAACTTAAGGGCACCAGGTGGCTCAGTCTGTTAAACATCCAACTTCAGCTCAGGCCATGACCTCATGGTTCATGGTTTCAAGCCCTGCATCAGACTCTGTGCTGACGGCTTGGAGTCT